AGTGAACCATTGGATGGAAGACCTATCTCTCTCTCTCATTCTCTCACTCTCTCTCTCTCTGCCTCTCCTCTCTCTGTGTAACTCTGACTTTCAAATAAATAAATAAATCTTAAAAAAAAACAGATATTCAAGATACCATTAGCTATCAGGGACATGCAAATCAAAGCTATAATTAGATATTCATAGGTGTTTAAATCCAATTTAAAATTGATCCTTGTAAAAACTAAGAGAATAAGAGAGGAAGGAGATGCACAGTTAGGCACACATTCCCGCATACTTACCCTTAAGGGTAAAGCTAAAAACTTGCCGTGGGACTCCAAATCCCATTAAGTTGGGTGGTACTAATGCCATCTTACTAGTTAAAGTGATCATTTTAAGTGTTTAACTGATCATAAAGATAGGAATAAGTGTCAAAGGGATCACATAAATAAGACCAAGTGTCTGCTAATAACAATAGATAGAATTAAAAAGGAGAGAATGATCCAATATGGGAAGCAGGGCACACAGCAGACTCATAGAATGACAAATGCCCTAAACAGCACTCTGGCCTCATAATCAGCCCTTAAGGCATTAGATCTGGCTAAAAAGCCCATAAGAGCATTTCAGGCATGGAAAACCAAGACACTGTGGGAAAAAATGACCTATATAAAGATCTCTGAATGAGATCCCAGTGGAAAGAAGGGGCCATCAAAGAAGGAGGTACTTATCTTTGAAGGGAGGAGAGAACTTCCACTTTGCTTATGGCCTGTCTAAATACTGACAGCGTTTTTGGACTCAAAAGGCTTCTCAGTAGAATTAGGTCTAGTTACCAGTTCTCCACTTCTTGCTCATTCTATAAATATTGTCAACCCACATATCTGTCTTGTACTTCACCCCGATAGCCACTACCCTCTAGGATGGATTATATGTTCTGCCCCACTGACCCTCACACCACATAGATATGCAGAGATCAGCTCTCAGTCACTGTGTGACCTACTGGAACTCAAGCCTGCTGACTTTAAGCTTACCTATTAGAACTCCCTGTGTGACACCTATTTGGGTAATTCCCTTTGTCACAATACAAACCTCAGCCCAGCCTTGGCTGTTGCAGTGATCTGGGGAGTCTCCTTCTATGTAACTCTCTCAAATAAAATCTTTAAAAAATAACAGTATTTGCATCGACCTATACACATGTTTGCATCTACTTTAAATAACCTCTAGGTTATTTATGATATGTAATATAATGTGTTATGTAAACCATTATTATATTGTATGCTTTAGAAAATAATGGCAAGAAAAAAGTGTGTGCTCAGTACAGACTCAATATTTTTATATAGTTTTGAATCAAGTCTGGGTGAGTCTACAACATGGAATGTAGCATACAAAAAGATGACTATACTACAAACTTGGTGGCTTGAAATAACATGAATTTATTATCTGACCATGCTGGAGACCGGAAACCCAAACAGGGTCTTACTACACTAAAAGAAAGGTGTTGGCAGAACTGCTTTCCCACCAGGGGAGGATCTATTTCTTTGTCTTATTCATTTATTATTTATTTGAAAGAGTTACAGAGAGAGGTAGAGACACAGAGAGAGGTCTTCCATCTGCTGGTTCACTCCCCAGATGGCCGCAATGCTTGGAGCTGTGCCGATCCAATCTGAGGCCAGGAGCCAGGAGCTTCCTCCAGGTCTTCTCAAGTGGGTGCAGGGGCCCAAGGACTTGGGCCATCTTCTACTGCTTTCCCAGGCCATAGCAGAGAGCTGGGCCAGAAGAGGAGCAGCTGGGACAAGAACTGGCACCCATATGGGATGCCGGCGCTTCAGGCCAGGGCTTTAACCTGCTGTGCCACAGCGGTGGCCCCTATTTCTCTGTTTTTTTTTTTTTTTTTTTTTTTTTTTTTTTTTTTTTGTGTGTGTGTGTGTGTGTGTGTGTGTGTTTTACCAGTTTCTCGATACAGCATGCATGCCTTAGCTCCTGGCTTCCTTCCATCTTCAAAGCCAACAGTGGCCTCTTGTAGTTTTCTCATACTGCTTCATTGGACACTGACTGTTCCAAATGTGAATCCCCCTTGCCAGAATAACCCAGCATAATCAGAAGTTGAATTCAGTGGACTGGCAACCTCTCATCAGAGGCTTAATTCTTTGCAAGATAACAAAGCATGTTTCTATGTTCCAGAGACGAGCATGCGCACATACATACACACACACACACACACACACACGTTTTAGTTACTAATATTCTGCCAAGCACAAAGAAGGTGCCCTTTAAGTGAGTTTAAAAATGTTCAGCAGTGGGCCCGGTGCCTTGGCTCACTTGGCTCATCCTCCGCCTGCAGTGCTGGCACCCCAGATTTTGTCCCGGTTGCTCCTCTTACAGTCCAGCACTCTGCTGTGGCTCGGGAGTGCAGTGGAGGATGGCCCAAGTGCTTGGGCCCTGCACCCGTGTGGGAGACCAGGAGAAGCACCTGGCTCCTGGCTTCTGGCTTCGGATCAGCACGATGTGTCAGCTGCAACGGCCATTTGGGGGGTGAACCAACGGAAGGAAGACCTTTCTCTCTGTCTCTATCTGTAACTCTACATGTCAAATAAATAAATAAATCTTTAAAAAAAAATGTTCGCCAGTAACAGCATCAAGTTTGCGCACAATCACATTATTCTCGTTGGCCATTGCAGCAAGGACAGAGAGGGGTTCTAGAGTAAAGAAGTGTGAGTGAAAGGAAAGGATCCTAAACAGCCAGGTAGTTCTGTCTTGGGGAAGTGGAATCTTCCCTGAGAGTAACTGGTGAAATCAGGCAGGTGGTTAGAGCAAGGGGCTGAGGACCAAGTGGATGAATCCCTGCTGCGTTTCACATTGCCAAATGCCTGGAGGGCTTGGATGTGATTGGCAAGAAGAGACTTGATAGAGAACAGTGGAAGAGGACTGAGGTCCCGCGCTGCCTGGTGCCTGCCACTTGGCCATGGGCAGCAGAGGGGGTGACTGTATGGCCACCTGCAGCTCTTGACAGGGTAGGGTCCACTTTCTTGGGCAAGTGTGGGCACCAAGCAGTGACCAAGTGAGCTGCCATTCTGGAATAAGCAAAAGGCAGTGTAGCTGGAAGAACTATTCAGGGCGCAGACCTGTGTTTTGTCTGTTAGGGCTGCAGGGACAGGTGGGCTTCTCTCACGAGAGGGGCACTGGTGACCCTGCATGAGGGGCCCAGAGCAGTTCTCGGAGCGGAGGTGCCTCCCTCCCCTGCGTGACTCCGTGAAGCAGTTAAGGAAGGAAGGACCACCGTGGTGGCCTCGTCCCTCCCAGGCTTTGGTGCTGACAGCCCCTGTGCCATGAGCGCCCGGGGAGGGGGCGACAGGAGCTGGCGCTCAGAGACGGGGGTGCAGAGGCGCCGAGGGGCAGGCTGGTATCCATCCGCTGCGCCCTGCGACGCGGCTCTCGCCGGCCCCGGCAGGCTGCGCGCCCCCCGACCCGTCCGCCTGCCGGCCCCAGAGCCCGTGAGCGCGCCGGAGCTGTGGTGGTGGTCGCTCAGTGAGCCTGAGAGGCGTCCCCGGAGGCGCCCCGCGCTAGCGCCCCCCGGCCTGGGCTGGCGGTCGTGCGGGCCCCGCCCAGCTCAGAGTGGGAACGAGGGTGGGCCTGGGAGGGGGCGTCGAGGCGCTGGCGCCATATCCCTCCGCCCCCTTCCCGACACCCTCGCGGCGAGCGGTTCCTGCCGCATCCTGCGCAGCCCCTGACGGGTTTGGTGCAGAGGCGCGGGGGGCGGGACGCGGCTTGGCCGTTCTGGTCGCAGGGAAAGCGCTGGGAATCCGAGAGAGAGAGAGAGAGAGAGAGGAGAAGCGAGGAGGGGAAGGCTGGAGACCGGGGCCCTGAGCCAGTGAAGGCAAGTGGGGGAGGTGGGGGGTTCGGGTCTTCTTCCCCCCACCGCCGCCGGCCGGCTGACAGCCTGGCCCCGCACCCAGGCAGCCTGGCAAGGAGGTGGCGAGCCTGTCGCAGCTGGCCCGGGTCCCGGTCCCATGTGGAACGCAGTGCCTGGTGGCCCCTGTGGAGGAGGCAGCAGGGATCCGCGCGGGCAGGGCCAAGGGCAGAGGGGTGGTCAGAGAGGCACCGGCACATCCTCTGAAGACCAGCTGCGGGGACAGCCTGCCAGCCGGTTTCCCAGCGCCCGGCCCCGCCCTCGCTGGTGCCTGTGCCCCGGGAGGCGGTGGGGGAGGCAGGGCAGGAGAATGTGGGAACAGGAGCTGGGGTGGGGGGTGCCCGGGAGGCCGGCCGGCCGGGTAGTGGCGGGGACGGGCACCTGAGCTCCCTGGCCAGCTCAGTGGAGGGAGCTGGGTCGCGTTTGCCACTGTGAGCCCTGATGCTGGAAGGGGTGCACTGGGTGCCTTGTCCTGGGTGCTGCCCCTTTCCACAGGTTTCAGGTTGATGTCAGAGTCTCCTGTCTGCGTGATGGGGCTGGCATATCCTGGCAGGCCACAGTGTGGGTCTAGAGAGGAGAGGCGTGAGCAAAGGAGCCACAGAAAATGGCTTGGGTTTATGGACGTGTGTGGGATGGGGATGGGGTGAGTGCCGCCAGGGGAGGTCTGGCATCCAGCTGCACCTCCTCATCTTCCCTACCTGCGATCCAGGCACTTCCCCCACCCGCCCAAAGTGGGGGCCTGAAGGGGGGCTTTGCAGCTGTGTGGGATGAGGGAGTCACAGTTACAAGGGCCACTTCACAACCTGCTTCTAGAATATGCGACACCTTTTCCCTGTTTTATGCTGCGTAAGACATGGGGCTGTGGTGCACCTAGTGGTGGATCCCCAGAATTGGAGGAGGGAGTGATGGGAAGGGTGTGACGTCAAGAGAGGGAGTTCAGTCTTTCTGGAACCCTGCAGCAGGACCTCAGTGAGACCTGAAGGTTCCACCAGCACGACCTCAGACGCTGAAAGACAGATATAATGAGAATTCCTACTCTTGGTGTCAGCCGTCCACCAGGCTTCAACTGCTGCTGTGATTTCCTGACTGCCTTACCTTTCCATCTGTTTGTCCATAGGCCTGCTTTGAGGCCGCTCAGTTCTGCAAGAAGGGAGAGGAAGAAGAGACTGGCTCAAGTGTCTGGAGGTTGGTGCGAAGGGGGACAATTCAGGGCACAGCTACACAGGAAGTGCATGACGGCTGACTTTGATCCATTTGGGTGGAAGACCTTTTCTACTTTAGTGTCTGCTATTTTTACAACCTACAGGGACATCTGTCATCTATTTTGTGCCAGACATATTCGGAATATTGTGGTAGGTGTAGGTGGAGCTGCCACTGGGAACAGAATACCTGAGAGCAGGGACTAGAATATAGGAAATGTTAGACATGGTGGACCCTTGAATGGAAAGAGTGATGTATGTTTTGGGTACCCGGATGTGTGCTTATCATTTGAACACTCCAAGTCCTTTCTCTCTTCTTTGTTCACTTTTCCGTAGGACGTTCCCCCCACCCTGCAATCAGCTGTGGGGATTGACACCACTTGATCAAGGAAAGGAGGGGAGCTTGTCCCTCACCAGTGAAGGTTGGTATGAGAATGGATCACTTTGGGTGGGGTAGTGGAAACCAGCAGGGGTACAGGAGTATTGACGGTCCAGTCTCAGGGCTGCTAGCACATGTCCCACTGCCCCCAAATCCATTTTGTGGCTGGCAACAAGGACAGAGACTTTCTCTTAGCCTAGCTTTCCCATCCAGGATTCAACACCAGTCTCCCTGTGTAAGTCTCTGCATGGAGTGACACAATTGGAAGAGATTTAGATCCCCATTTCATTCTCTCTCTCCAGATCCACTTCCAGTGGCAGCTCTGGTAGTGTTGGAGTTACTGCTGGCCACCACTCACAACAGGTCTGCACCCACCAGGAACCATCCATCCTCCCCCAGTTGGTTGTGCCTCTTCTGAATTTTGTCTGTATTCTTGACTGAGACTGTGCTTGGGAAAGAGGGTGATTGGCTGCTGGACTGGCAAGTGACTCTTAACTCATTTCCAGCTTTACCATTGTAATCATCAGAGATCAGAGTGTGAGGTTTTAAACCTGTGACAGATCTGCAATCAAACCCGAGACTTGGGTAGGGGTAATTAATTGGGCCTTGTCTGTAACTTGTATCATGACTGGGGCAGAGGTTGAGACTAGTGCCCAGGTTAAGCCTGAAAAGAAGGCTGGAGAAGAGGTTGTTGGTGGGGCCGAGAGAGAGAATGAAGTCCCTCTGGTGGTCAGACCCAAGGTTAGGAACCAGGCCCAGGTAACGACTGGGGCAAGACCCAAGACTGAAAACAAATCTGGGCCTGGGGCAAGGCGCAAAAATGATGCCCAAGCAATGGCCGGGGCAAGATCCAAAACTGAGGCCCAGACAGTGGCTGGGGCAAGGCCCAACACCGAAGCCCAGACAGTGGCTGGGGCAAGGCCCAACACCGAAGCCCAGACAGTGGCTGGGGCAAGGCCCAAAACTGAAGCCCAGACAGTGGCTGGGGCAAGGCCCAAAACTGATGCCAGGGCAGTAGGTGGTGCACGTCCTAAGACTGAAGCCAAGGCAATTCCTGGGGCAAGACCCAAAGATGAAGCCCAGGCATGGGCACAGACTGAATTTGGGACTGAGACAATGTCCCAGGCAGAGGGAGTGCCGCAGCCTAATGCTGTTGGCTGGCCACTGGTCAGTTCTGAATCTGGGTCAGCTACTAAATCTAATGGCCTATCTATGGATAGAGAACTGGGCAGTGTGGATGCTGAACCATTTTCTAGCACCCAGAGCCAGACTGGAATCCAACCCTGGTTTGAACCAGGGGAGGAGACTAATACGGGGTCTTGGTGTTATCCTAGGCCCCGAGCCAGAGAGGAGGCCTCTAATGAATCTGGATTCTGGTCAGCAGATGAGACCTCTACGGTGTCTTCTTTCTGGACTAGTGAAGAGACCAGTGTCAGATCCTGGCCCAGGGAAGAGGCCAGCACAAGGTCCAGGCACAGGGCTAAACATCAGACTAACCCCAGGTGCAGGCCCAGATCCAAGCAAGAGCCTTATATTGATTCCTGGTCTGGATCTGAGGATGAGGCTGGCAACCCATTCTGCTTCTGGTCTGGAGAAAATACCAATAACTTATTCAGACCCAGAGTCAGGGAAGAGGCAAATACCAGGTCCAAGGTCAGGACAAAGAGAGGGGACTGCTTTGAATCAGAGTCTGAAGACGAGTTCTATAAGGAGTCCTGGTTTTTGCCTGGAGAAGAGGAAAATAGTAGATTCAGGCGCAGAGACAAGGAAGAGCCTAATGGCATTTTGAAATCACGGGCCCAAAAAGATGTTAATAACAGTAACAGTGCCAACCAAGAGGCCAGGTTGGAGGAGGAAGTCATTATCGGGTCCTGGTTCTGGGCAGAAAAAGAGGCCAGTTTGGAGGCTGGGGCCTCGGCAATTTGTGCATCTGAGCCAGGGACCGAGGAAGGGGCTATTGGCGGATCCCTGTTATGGGCTGAGGAAAAGTCCAGTTTGGGGGCTGTGGCCAGAGAAGAGGCCAAGGCAGAGCCTGAAGAAGAGGCCATATTTGGGTCCTGGTTCTGGGATAGAGATGAAGCCTGCTTTGACCTAAATCCCAATCCTGTGTACAAGGCCAGTAGCAGGTTCAGAGATTCAGCTGAAGAGGAAATTAATGCATCATCCAGGCCCCAAACCTGGGAAGAGGTCACTGTTGAATTCAGACCTGGCCCTTGTCGTGGGATTGGCTTCCCATCCACAAGCCACTTTAGAATCACTGAAGCGGCTTCTGAGATACTTGAGGCAAAGCCCAAGCCTGTGGAACCTAACCCAGAAGGGGAAGAGCAGGAATCTGTGCTTCAGCCTGATCAGCCTGAACCGGAGTTTGCATTTCAGTATGATCCTTCCTACCGCTCAGTCCGGGAAATCCGAGAGCACCTTAGGGCTAGGGAAAATGCAGAGCCTGAGAATTGGTCCTGCAGTTGCATACAGTGTGAGCTTAAAATTGGTTCTGAAGAGTTTGAAGAACTCCTTTTACTAATGGACAGAATCCGTGATCCTTTCATCCATGAAATATCTAAAATTGCAATGGGGATGAGAAGTGCTTCTCAGTTTACCCGAGATTTCATTCGGGATTCAGGTGTGGTCTCACTTATTCAAGCCTTGCTCAATTATCCATCCTCCCGAGTTAGGACACATTTTTTGGAAAGCATGCTTCACATGGCTCCACCTTATCCAAATCTAAACATGATTGAGACATTCATATGTCAAGTGTGTGAGGAGACCCTTGCTCATGGGGTGGATTCCCTTGAGCAGATGACTGGAATAAGGATGCTCAGACACCTCACTATGACTACTGACTATCACACACTGATTGCCAATTATATGTCTGGGTTTCTTTCCTTATTGACTACGGGCAATGCAAGAACAAAATTTCACGTTCTAAAAATGCTGCTGAATTTGTCTGAAAATCCTATGGTGATAAAAAAACTATTCAGCGCCAAAGCTCTATCAATATTTGTGGGTCTGTTTAACATAGAAGAGTCACATGATAATATTCAAATTGTTGTTAAGATGTTTCAGAATATCAGTAATATTATAAGAAATGGAACATTGTCCTTAATTGATGACGATTTCAGTCTTGAGCCGCTTATGTCTGCGTTCCGTGAATTTGAGGCATTAGCTAAGCAACTACAAATCCAAATAGACAATCAAAATGATCCTGAGGTGGGACAGCAAAGTTAATATGATTAACCACCTGCTGCTGATCAGCCTTATGTTCCCAAAGAGCCCCGAACAGTGCTTTTGGTGTTCACAGTCTGGTTCTATGTTGTAAATTATATTTGTAATGTTGATGTTAACTTTGTCAAACTCTTGTTTTGAGCTGGATTGTTTTGTGGATGCCAAATGAATATTACAACTGAAAACATATTTGTTGATATTTGTCTTGTTCAGATTGCGGTATTTTTGGTGTTGAGCTCCCAATGAACTGTATCTGAGTAGGATATTCTGCTATTTGTTGTTTAAATATATGGTTCTCTACTCAAGTCTGTTTTCAATAAAGTTCTATGTTGAAATCGGCATAAATGATGCTTCTTCAAATTTACAAACCAGATGCAAATACATTGGGTATACTTCTAAATACAAGTAATTAGTATAAAAACATACGCTGTTAGAAAATCCTGTTATTGACGCTTAGGAGAAATTACTGTGGCCTGAAGTACTAGAGGAATGTCCTGGAAAAGAGGGACTCAAATTGGTCACTAGCAGGTAGGATAAGGCTAGTCATTTGTCATTCTCGGAAGTGGGCTGTGATGATGTGAAGTATGTAATTGGAAAATCTTTCTCAGCAGCATATATGTACCCAGTATGCCTGAAATAAGTGAGAGGAGTCTATTTCAGGATGCAGTTGAGAAGTTGGGATAAGGCCAGTCTGGGGGAACAAATAAGTAAGCCAAATCTGCACACTTTAGAATTCAGTGCCACCTTACAGGTTAACAGAACCAGACTCCAATTAAATAAAGTCAGGGATAGGATATCATTTATGATCTTATTCAAAGGAAAATGTTAAGGAATAACATCCATCAAGGGGCTGGCACTGTAGTGCAGGTTAAGCCACCACCTGTAGTGCTGGCATCCCATATGGGCACTGGTTTGAGTCCCGGCTGCTCCACTTCTGATGCAGCTCCCTGATACTGTGCTTGGGAAAGTAACGGAGGATGGCCCAAGTGCTTGGGCCCCTGCACCCACATGGCAGACATGGATGAAGCTCCTGGCTTCAGTCTGGCCCAGTGCTGTTGAGGCCATTTGGGGAGTAAAACAACAGATGGAAGATGTCTCTCTAATCTATTTCTCTCTCTCTCCTCTCCCTTCCTCCCTCTCTCACTGTAACTCTTTCAAAAAAGTAAATTTAAAAAGTCTTTTAAAACATCCCATCCATCCATTGAAGTAATTCTGCATAAATTTATTTATTGGCATGAATTTATATTAATGATTTTTTTTTGACAGGCAGAGTGGACAGTGGGAAAGGTCTTCCTTTGCCGTTGGTTCACCCTCCAATGGCCGCCGCAGCCGGCGCACCGCGCTGATCCGATGGCAGGAGCCAGGTACTTATCCTGGTCTCCCATGGGGTGCAGGGCCCAAGTACTTGGGCCATCCTCCACTGCACTCCCTGGCCACAGCAGAGAGCTGGCCTGGAAGAGGGGCAACCGGGACAGAATCTGGCGCCCCGACTGGGACTAGAACCCGGTGTTCCGGCGCCGCAAGGCGGAGGATTAGCCTAGTGAGCCGCGGCGCTGGCCGTGTATTAATGATTTTTAAACAACTTTTATTTATTTGAGAGGTAGAGTTACACAGAGAGAGAAAGAGAGGCAGAGAGATGTCTTCCATCTGCTGGTTCACTCCCCAAATGGCTACAATGGCCAGAGCTAGGGATGATCAAGAGCCAGGAGCTTCTTCAGGGTCTCCCGTGAGGGTGCAGGGGCCCCAGCACTTGGGGCACCTTTCCCTGCTTTCCCAGGTGCATTAGCAGGGAGCTGGATCCAGCAGCTGAGACTTGAACCAGTAACCTGACACCGCTGATGACGGTTTAACCCATTATCCCTTGACACCAGCCCCAGATCCCATTTTAACATATACACAATTTCTGTGCAACTTCAATATGACTTCCTAGGTTACTTCATATATTTCACAGTCCAAAATAAAATATGCCATGTTAAAAAAATTCTCAGAGGCAGGCATTTTGGAAATGAAAATGAATTCAACATTTCAATTAAGATGTTTTCATCTAGTGCACTGCGTTACAGGTGAGAATGCTGGAAAGAATGCAGTTGTATAAATGAATAAGTCTTAGAAAAAGAATGTGTGCCAAAATTTAGAAAAATCATAAATGTTATTTCAGAACATCTAGCTTTTTATATGAAATGTTTAAAAAGAAAACAAATTGCTAGTTTTGCTAAGTGTATATTAGGCTGTTGATGGTACAGGAATGGAAGATTTCACAGGATTTTTATACTCAAAAGATCATAACATTCCCTTTTTAGGTGACAGATTTCTGGAGACAGTAGTGATGGTTGCAGAACATTGAAAATGTACTTTATGCTACTAAATTGTACCTGTAAAATTGGTTAAGATGGTAAATTTTATGTTATGTATATTTTGGCACAATAATAGATTATGCCGTACTTCCTTCAAGAGAATTTCAAAAGTTGGAGATAGAATTAGTTTGGAGAGGGGCCGGCACTGTGGCAGAGCAAGTGGAGCTGCTGCCTGTAGTGCCGGCATCCCATATGGGCGCTGGTTCAGGTCCTGGCTGCTCCACTTCTGATCCAGCTCTCTGCTATGTCCTGGGAGAGCAGTGGAAGATGGTCCAAGTCCTTGGGCCCCTTGCACACACGTGGGAGACCTGAAGGAAGCTATTGGCTCCTGGCATTGGATCAGACCAGCTCTGGCCATTGGGGCCATTTGGGGAGTGAACCATCGGATGGAAGACTTCTCTGCCTCTCTGTAATTTTGCCTTCCAAATAAATAAAATAAATCTTTAAAAAAGAATTAATTTGGAGAGATAATCTAGACTGAGGGGAAATAGCAAATGTTTTATTAGTTTTAGACATGAAAATTTTATTTCCTTTTTGTTTGAGGGTACTGTAAATTTTCAAAACAAAATTATGACTTATATAAGTAATAAGTACACATGTGAAATATTTTTCAATACAACTGCTAAGGTTAAAAAAAAAGAGGCCAGCGCTGTGACTTAGTGGGCCAAGCCTCTGCCTGTGGCACCAGCATCCCATATGGGTGCAGGTTTGTGTCCCGGCTGCTCCTCTTCCAATCCAGCTCTCTGCTATGGTCTGGGAAAGCAGAAGATGTCCCAAGTGCTGGGGCCCCTGAACCTGCATGGGAGATCTGGAATAGGCTCCTGGCTCCTGGCTCCAGATCAGCCTAGCTGTGGCTGTTGCTGCCATTTGGGGAGTGCACCAGCAGATAGAAGACCTTTCTCTCTGTCTCTACTTCTCTCTGTCTATAACTCTAACTCTCAAGTAAATAAATAAATAAAAAGTAAAAATTAAAAAAAAAAACTGTTAAAGGAGATGTGTACACAATATATACAATATGAAGATACAAGCAAATATGTATATCAGATTTTATAGACACAACATCAATAAATGTTGGCCGAACATTACCGGGTTAACATTACTGAGTTAATTAACCAAATCGGTTAATATCTCACAGAACAATACAGTATTTAAGGTTTTCTGTTCTACTGAACAGAAATCATTTACATTAATCTTTTAAAATATCTACCAGTTAACATCAGCCTCTACAGAGTTGAAAAAATGAAGCTGGGGCCAGTGTTGCGGTACAATCAACTACGTTGAGGAATGCAGCACTGGCATCCCATATGAGAGCACCAGTTTGACTCCCAGCTCCACTTCCGACCCAGCACCCTGCTGTTGTGCCTGGGAAAGCAGCAGGGGATAGCTCAAGCACTTGTGCCCCTGCCCCTGCCGACCATGTGGGAGACCTGAATGGAGCTCCCGGGCCTGGCTTCCACGTGGCCCAGCCCTGGCCATTGCTGCATTTGGCGAACGAACTAGTCGATGGAGAAGAGTCATTTCTCTTTCTCTCTCTCTCTCCCCTCTCTCACACACACGCACTCGCGTGTACACGCACATATCTCTGGCCTTCCCTATGTCACCTCTGCCTTTCAAATAAAATTTTCTTTAAAGTGAAGCTCAAAGACACTAAAATAATATCCAATTATCTATGTTGCTTTTAGCAAAGTATTATATAAATTTATGAGAGTGCAACATGCTCTTTTCCAACTTGTCGTAGTAAAATGAAGGTTTACAATAGTAGGTAAAATGGCAGGTTTGCCTGTCTTCAAAAACCAGAAATGTTAAAGAGGCTTATCGTGGTGGTGCAAGTTGGAGTTGGATGTTTTGCTTATAAATATTTTTCAGGACCGAGCCTGTGTGTGTGTTTACATGTTGCATGAGTTCATCTCCCACATCCTCGTGGAGTGTTCCACACCAGCCATCCAAGCCCCCTAACAGAGCAAAGCGCACGCACAAGGCTGGCAGCTTTGTCTCCAAATGCAGCCCTCCGGCCAGCTGCACGTTCGCCAGGGTCAGGAGCTCGTGCTGCCTGTATCAGCAGCTCAGCCCCAGAAGCAGATCGCGGCCATCCCTGCAGCAGGCAAGCTGACTGCGCGGTCACGTGGGGCGGGCGGCGGGTCATGTGACCAGCTCTGGGCCGGCAGAGAAGAGTGTTTACTTGCTCGGAGAAGGGACCAGGAGGACCTAGGATGGACCCAGGGAGGTGCGCCGGGTGGCGGGGAGTTACGGTGGGTGGGTGGGGGTCTCTGCATGCTGCATGGGCCTGAAAACTAACTTCCCAGGCGACCACGGAGGACAGCGCTTGTCGGTCAAGGAAGTGGTCCCTTAGGCAGTGGCGAGCGTCTCAGCCAGTCTGTGTCTCGTCCGGGAGCTGCAGCCTTGGAGGCGGCGTTCGTCCGTGGAGAGAGCAGCGGCTGGTGTTGGAGGGGGTGGGTGCGAGGCCGGGAAATGCCATCGGCGGGAGGTGGTGGCTGAGACTGAACGCGGCTGCAGGAAATGTCTGGGCGACTGGGCGCCTCGCCCTCCAGGCCGCCTCTGAGCAGCCCCTCCCCCCACCCCAGGCTTCCCGCCCAGCGCGGCGCGACTGTGTTGCTAGGTTTGGGTGAGGGCGGCGGGCACTCGGATGGAGCTGACTTCGGGGGTCCGGTAGAGCCTAACAGGGAGGGGACAACTCGTGGGCACTGCGGCACTGGGTGAGGACAGGCAGGGGTGGGGCTGGGAACCGTGGGCAGCTGTCTTCCTCTCACCACGTGGGCACTGGCTCTCTAGCGTCTGCCTGTCTGTCTGTCTGCCTGCCTGCCTGCCTTACTGACAGTGTCCAGGCAGTGGGGATGGCTGAGGGCAGCTGGAAGCTGGGGGTGGGCAGGGTAACACATCTGCCTTTTGCTCCAGGGCTCAAGCTGACTGGGGATGCCAGAGAGGAATGAGCCTCAACCTGGGAGCTCTGGACAAAGAGGAGGAGGCGTGGACTGGGGGAGGAACCTAGATGCTTTGGGCTCTTCACTTGGGATTTCTCATGGGGATCCTCCAAATTGCTCATCCCTGGAGCAGATTTGTGGGTTTAGTCCCATGCAGCAGCTCCTTCTCACTTAAGAGCACAAGGTTGGTGCTCCTTGTGGGGCTCCCTCATCCACATATCCTGGGTTTGAGAGGAATGTCTTTTGGGGGACTACCTACAAAAACTATGTAATTTTGTGACAGACTAGTGTCACATTTCCATTCCTCACACCCTTTGCTCTTTTCCTTGTGTCTGCTCCCCACCCAGTCTTTACATCTTGTTCCTTTAATCCCATCCTAAATTGCAGCCCCTTTATATGTCCTTGTCTTCTTTCTGAGTATTCTCTTCTGACGCATCAAGTGGGTACCAAATAAAACTATTCCTCCATTCGCAACACTTGTGTGTTATTTTGTGTGTGAATTTTTCACATCAAACAATTCTCCCATTCTCTGAGGGCACCCGCTAGGTGTAAGACAACTTAATTCAATTCTGACACTTACTATCCAGAGATAGGTCAGACTCCCCAGGTTAAGGGGTCTCTCCCATAAGATTGCCCCTCGCTTCAGCCAGTTGCAAGTAGTGGGTCTCCGTGTTATCCAAATGTCCATCCAGCTCGGCTACTAATCTGGATTCCCGCGATGCTCTCTCAGGTTGTATAATTTGCTCTAACATTTCAGAGAACTCAGAAAATCTCTTGATTTACTATTACTGGTTCTTTATCAAATATATTTTAAAGGCTATAACTGAAAATCTAAATGAAGAGTGAGAGCAGACTGCTCCTAAGAAGCCTGCAAAGCATTCAAGAGAAATAGATACTAAGAGCTGTCTGAGGACTATCTGGAACTTATTCACCAGGTTGGTTTGAATTGGGTGATGTGCACATGGGGCCTGTTTTTTTTTTTTTTTTTTTTTTAGCCATCTGGAGCAGCCTTGCACATCCTTTGCTTTTTATCTATACATTCCTTGTCTATTCCCAGAGATCCTTAACATTCATCCGCAGCCTTCTCTTCAGTAGCCTCTTTACATAGGTGATGTTTATAACCAGTCGTGTTCTAAAGACAGTAACGTCCCACCTGTGAGAAATTCGCCCTCACCCCCAGACTGCCTTTCCAGGTCACTGTGCATTGATAACAGAAAATGTACCGTCATTGAGTGTATAAATTCTAACAAGAACTTGACCACTTTGGAAAACTTCCCAAGACTCGTTAAAAGCCACTGGGCTTGTGTCTTCTGGGCTTACGTCCCTCATTTTCTGTCCTGAGTAAACTTTCATATTGACCTTTTTAATAGATCCTGTTTATTTCCAATGATGGGGGTTCACAAAGGAAGGGTCCAGAAAGGGTCATTTAGGGCTTTTATAAGAGTTACATCACGTAGGCATGAGTCATTAAATCATTGGCTAATAACTTAATCTCCAGGCCAGGCCAGCATTGTGACACAGCAGGTTAAGCCACTGCCCGCAACCCATATGAGTACTAGTTTGAATCCTGGCTCCTCCACTTCTGATCCAGGTCTTTGCTAATGTGCCTGGGAAAGCAGTGGATGATGGCCCAAGTATTTGGAACTTGCCACCCACGTGGGAGACCCAGATGGAGTTTCAGGCTTCTGGCTTCTGCCTGACCCGGCCCTGGCCATTGTAGCCATTTGGGAAGTGAATCAGCAAATAGATGATCTCTCCTCTCTCTCTCTCTCTCTCTCTCTCTCTGTCTCTCTCTCTCTCTCTCTCTCTCTCTCTGTGAGTGTGTGTGTGTGTGTGTGTGTCTTTGTAACTGCCTTTTGAATGAATAAGTACATCTTTTTAAACAAAAATTCTCCATCCCTTTCTCCACTCCTTGGATGTCAGGGGAAGGGCCTGGAAGTTCCACCCTTTCTGATCTCCCCTTGAGCTTCTGGTGAACACTCATTTTCTGAATCTATCTAGGGACTCCAATCACACGTATTCTCATTAGCATGCAAACCTTATCTCTTCACATTCAGGGCTTTAAAGGGCTGAGATACTCTTGTGTAATGAGAGATGTTGAGAACCCCTATCACTCAGGAAATAACAAAGTTGTAGGAGCTCCGTGCCAGGAACCAAGAACCAAGATATAAATACAGGGGCTGGCTCTGTGGTGTAGCAGGCTAAGCCTCTGCCTGTGGCAGCAGCATGCCATATGGGTGCCAATTTGTGTCCCAGCTACTCTTCTTCCCATCCACCTCTCTCTCTGCCATGCCCTGGGAAAGTAGTAGAAGATGACCCAAGTGCTTGGGCCCCTGCACCAGCATGGGGGACTCAGAGGAAGCTGCTGGCTCCTGGCTTTGGATCAGACCAGCTCCAGCCACTGCAGTCATTTGGGGAGTGAACCAGCAGATGGAAAACCTCTCTCTCTCTGTAGCTCTACTGTTCAAATAAATAAAATCTTAAGAAATATATAAATACAAATATATTTTATAAATATATTTTTCTTCCTTACCAGAGCTTCCTCAGCTTGGCATTCCTTCTGTGGGTACTGCATTTATATTTGGAGAACTTCAAATCGTGGCCTGGCCGGATACTTGTAAGTCCCACACGTACCCCTTAAGCAGATACTTAAACTGTTCATGACTGGAAATTTTATACCTGAGAGAAAAAAAAACAGGTTGAGTGTTGAGTGTACATCTCTGTGTGTCTCTGTATGTCTGGTTGTCTCTGTTCTGAACATCCTTGCGTGGGACTTATAAGATCATGCCTCCTTTTTCCCTGGGGTATAGCTGAACTAAAAACCTAATCATTCACACAGGTAATGAAGAATTGATCATGTAGTTTTCTCAGTGAGGGAGTGTAAGAATCCTGTGAAGTAGTTATTACCAGCACCCTTTTAAAAATGATGAAACTAGATTATAAAGACATTAAATATCTTTACCAAAGTTATATAAATAGTGCCAAACTCTGTCTTCATAATTTGGATTGTCTGTCTCTGAAGTCTGGGCACTCCCTTCTCTACTATGCAGCCTCCGTCCCACTAGAGAGTACTTTTTGGGCTCACAAACTAGTTGCTCTAAGCAAGCATCTAGCAATCATTAAGCAACCAGGGGAAACTAGATTCTAGTAGTGCCATGCACTGCCTCTTGTGGTGGTGGTGGTGACGGAGATGACTTTTTTTTTTCTTCTAGGGTTAAGTCATGGTTGCTCAGATCTGATCACCAAGAATTTTCATTCAGGAGTTTGGAATTCTAATTTGCATTCCAGGTTAAGAATGTAGGATGAGATGTCAGGTTCAGGGAGCCACATAAATTCCCTGTACCTGGGAAGGAAAACAGCTAATATTTCTGAAGCAGTTGGGCTTTCACGGGTAACTTTATTCCTAAACATGATGTTCCGCTGAAAAGAAGACAAAAGCTATGTTCGCAGTTCTGTAACTACCTTGCTAAACCCATGGGCAGACTTTCAGTTTTAGCTGCGACATGTAAGAGCTTTGAAGTCATTACTCTCATACATAAAATCAGAACAGTATCTTAGCAGAGAATCAGCAGCTTTTCTTAAGACTCATCAGAGAACTGAAATTGTTGAGCAAAACATCACCCCAAATTCTGGAGGAAAAAAGGCAAATGCAGAAAGTGTCTCTCCTTACATAGAGAAGAAACAGCTGGAGACTAAATGGTGGGGTTGGGTGGGGCAATTGCATGGGAATTTTGATGAATGGCTGGAGACTGAGTATGGAATAGTATGGGAATGAGAAACCCCTGGGGACCTTCAGTCAGGGCGATCCCCACACTTCATGGGCTCTACTTCCGGGAACTCCACCTGATTCTTTTTTTTTTTTTTTTTTGACAGGCAGAGTGGACAGTGAGAGAGAGAGACAGAGAGAAAGGTCTTCCTTTGCCGTTGGTTCACCCTCCAATGGCCGCCGCAGCTGGCGCGCTGCGGCCGGCGCACTGCGCTGATCCGATGGCAGGAGCCAGGTACTTATCCTGGTCTCCCATGGGGTGCAGGGCCCAAGCACTTGGGCCATCCTCCACTGCACTCCCTGGCCACAGCAGAGCTGGCCTGGAAGAGGGGCAACCGGGACAGAATCCAGCGCCCCAACCGGGACTAAAACCCGGTGTGCCGGCGCCACAAGGCAGAGGATTAGCCTAGTGAGCCGCGGTGCCAGCCTCTACCTGATTCTTGCAGTGATGATCCCAAAAATATTCCCTCATGGCTCTGACAGTGGGAAAGAAACGATATCTGTGTAAAATACACCCAGAATCCTCCTCATAACAAGTGTCTGCTCTGCAGCAGAAAAGACTTTAGCTAGCTGAAGCAAGGGCTTTCTTCTCACTCTAGCCTGCTCTGGGCTTCCAGTCTTATGTAAGGGAGAGAAAGAAGCAATAAACAACAACAGAAGACTTGTAAAGATTATGGTCCCAGGATACAGGCCCATAGAAGACTGGAATTGAATCATAAGATTGTAGAACACTTTGACTTCTCCACACTTAGCACCATGCTAACAAGACTAGTGTAGTAACACTGGATGCATAACAGCTAAAAGAGCTACCAGGTGCAGGTTCTGTGGGGAGAACATAGGGAGGCCAAAATGAAGAGAAAAAACAAAAAGGACACTGGAGGAATTGGAAGTCTCTGGCACCTACAGTTACAGTAAACATTAAGCAAAGCCCAATTCCTAACCAGCTTAACCTGAATGTTCTCATTAAAGGTCTATTTATATCAGTTTCTATTATCCAGTATACTATGTCCAACACAAAATTATAAGGCATGCTAAAAGGTAAGAAAAAGCACAGTCTGCAGATACAAAGCAAACAACAGAACCAGACTCAGATATAATGCGGATGTTGATTATGAGACAAAGGATTTAAGCTAACTGATTAACATGTTCATGGGTCTAATAGCTAAAACAGACAACATGCAAGAATCGATGGGCAATGTAAGAAGAAATACAGGGGAACTTCATGAAGCTAACAGAAGGATGGAATTGAAAGATAAGTTTATTCCAGGGTGGGCATTTGGCATAGTGGTTAAGACACCATGTGGGACACTTGCATCCAGCCTTAGAGTACCTGGGTTTGAGTCAGTCAGGGCTTTGCTTCGGATTCCAGCTTCCTGCTAATGTAGACTCCAGGTGGTTTCAGGGGATGGTTCATGTGCTTGGGTAACTGCACATGGGAGACCTAGATAGACCTCCCAGCTCCTGTCTTTGGCCTGGCCCAGCCCTGGTTGTTGCAGGCAAATTATTTGGAGAGTGATTCAGTGGATGAAGTATCTCTGTTTCTCTCTCTCTGCCATTTGAATAAATAAAAATAATTTTAAAGGTAAGTTTATTTGGGTGCAAAAAGACTTTGACATCCATGCGTAGATTTTCATTTTATGCATTTTCTGTGAACTCGCTGAAGGCCATTGTGTGTGGGGGGGGGGCATACTTCCAAAAAAGGATAAAACATTGTTTTATAATTTCCATTTACACTGAACTCCATATTTGGAGTTATTTTCATTTTTATATATAGACAGCTGCTTTGCTCTTTTTTGATAGTGTAGTGGGATAGAACAGTACTTTATAAAATACATGTGCCATGCTTATTTAATCCAAAAAAACTTAGAAATCTGAAACACATTCAAATAAGGGATACTCTATCTGTGTGACTAGTATCCTCTAAGTCACACAAATATATTGATGTGACAAATGGAAGGGCCCCTCCATGTGACTAAAAGAGATTAAAGCATCATGATTTATTTTCTGCCTCTGTGTGCTATACTTTAAAATAGAAATATCACTACTATAGGTATTTTTAATGTGTATGTGTTGTAGGGGTTAGTTTGTAAACTACCTACCTCTTCTTTTCTTAATTGAGAAACCATATGAGAGGACTTCAAACAGCTCATGGAATGGAATTGAGAGATAAATTTATTTTGAGTGCAAAATACATTTGAAATGCATGCATGGTTTTTTCATAGTACTCATTTTCTATGAACTTTTGAAGACCGCATGAATGGAAGGCACTTCCTGTGTGGCACTCTGGGCTACACCCTGGGGTTAGGCATCAAAGACAATTATAAATGAGCAATTATCTGCAACCAATAGAGGATACTGTGGAATTCTCACGGCTCAATGGCCCCCATTACTTCAACTATTAACTGTGCTATTATGTTCTGAGGATACAGCAGTGAACAAGAATCAAAAGAGAACCTTTCCTCCTGGAACTTTCAGTTTAACTAAAACTCTCCACCCTTTCGAAGTGTCAAAAGTGTTACATATCCAGGGAGAAAAGAGTGTTTGTATTCATTGGGCAGTATGCAGGGCTGGGACACAGGGAGGAGCTGGGGAGAGCAGCTATCCTGAGGATGTGTCCCGCCCTTCCTGGAGCCTGCCACTTGGCCATGGGCAGCAGAGGGGGTGACTGTATGGCCACCTGCAGCTCTTGACAGGGTAGGGTCTACTTTCTTGGGCAAGTGCGGGCACTAAGCAGTGACCAAGTGAGCTGCCATTCTGGAATAAGCAAAAGGCAGTGTAGCTGGAAGAACTATTCAGGGCGCAGACCTGTGTTTTGTCTGTTAGGGCTGCAGGGACAGGTGGACTTCTCTCACAAGAGGGGCACTGGTGACCCTGCATGGGGGGCCCAGAGCAGTTCTCCGAGCAGAGGTGCCTCCCTCCCCTGCGTGACTCCGTGAAGCAGTTAAGGAAGGAAGGACCACCGTGGTGGCCTCGTCCCTCCCAGGCTTTGGTGCTGACAGCCCCTGTGCCATGAGCGCCCGGGGAGGGGGCGACAGGAGCTGGC